TTTTGTTGCCTTTTTTTTTTTTTTTTTTGTCCCCCCTTTCTCTTATTTTCTTTCAAAGAACTTCTTATCTGGCATAATATTGTAGTCTTTCTACAGCTAGCCACTTAAAAGAGCTTAAAGTGATTAAATGGATTCTGAAATGGCATGTGCTGGAATGTAGGAAACTTGGGAGAATATTTAAAAGGTAACAAACAGTTAATGTTGCTCAAAGTTGCAAAAACATAACTAAAATTTAGGGCTTTGTTTGCACTGCTTCAACACTGAAGAAACTCTTATACTGGAACTATATCTGTAAGAATGTTAATTAGAACTATATAGAAATAAATAACAGAAATCCCTTAATATTTTTTAATTATGACATCTTCTTAAGTAAAATTTCCTTAATAGAAATAAAAGCTAATCCTTTTTTTCTTAAAGGAAGCCATATCTAGCTTTAAGCAAAATACCCATCAATTTAGACAAAGCCTCTTGTTATTTCTTTTGCTCCCAAGGCATACTCAGGTACTCCATTTAAAGCCTTCCCCTAGATGAAGTAAATCAATTAAACTCAATCAAATCAATTACAAATCCCTGTAACATTATGATTAGCGAAACATTCTTGGTTGGCTTTAATAGGAATCAAGCAGCTAAATTCCCCACTCTCCACTTTGCCTAAAAATAAAAAAAATCAATTATTTGGAACATTTCACTGGATCACAGGATTTGCCATACTATTGTTCCACCTACTCAAGTGTATTCTGTCCAGAGGTAAAAGCTTCTTACGTTATCTGTGGCTAAACAATATATTATACATAAGAGGACAATCCCCCTCCTCTGCCCCAGTCCTCCAGGTGAACAGTTCACTTGCTGATACATGAGACAAGATGAAGCAATCGTTATAATTCACACAGCTGCTACCACACTGTAAAAACTGTTACTAAAATTAAGCTGCATTTCCAGCATGATTCCTGATGTGCTGCTCTTCTGTATTAGCACATATATGAAAATTTGAAATACTCGCAAGCTCAAGATCTCTCATGTCCTTCTTCCCTCACTTCTGGAGTCTTCCACTAGATACAAACGTACAGCTTCTCTAAGCAGATTGACCCAGATTAAAGGGGAGGAGAGTAGAAGAGAAGAAGGCTCAGAGAAGGTCTTAAGGCTCTCTACAGCTCTCTGAAAGGAGGTTGTAGTGAGGTGGGAGTCCGCCTCTTATCCTGGGTAACAACAATAGAAAAAGAGGTAATGGCCTAAAGTTGCACCAGGTGAAGTTCAGCATGGATATTAGGAAAAATTTATTCTCCAAAAGCAGTTACTTGCTGCAACAGGCTGCCCAGGGAAGTGGTTGTGTCGCCATCCCTGGAAGTGTTCAAGAAACATTGAGATGTGATGCTAAAGGACGTGATTTAGAGGAGAAATATTGGTGGTAGGTGGACAGTTGGACTGGGTGATCTTGGAGGTAGGACCATACAAGTCTATGATTCTGTGACTTAAAGTAACATCTTCCCATTGAGTAAACAAGCACATTCACATGTCTGTAGATGTGTTTTAGGTACAATATCTAAGCAAAATAGACTTTCTCAAGTTCTCTAGCCATTACTGCAACACTGTCTCTTATTTTATAAGACAACATTCTTCTGAAATTTATCCAAAGCAGATATAATCTTCTACGGCAATATCATTGTAGTTTTAAGCAGTTGTGGAACCACTAGAAGCTATGGAGATATATTCTTGGTATGTACGAAGATAAGTCATGGTTAATACAGAAGCAGAACGATATTAAGGTGAGTGGGGTCACTGGAGTTTCTCAACATTCATGTCTGCACATGCAGAAAATATATTTGCCTGTGCTAAGACAACACAAGTTTCTATTTGTAAAAAAAATATATTAGCAAAATTCTCTAGCAAACCACACAATTTACAGGCCGTCTAATGGGCAATTTTTTATTTTTTTTTCCTCCATCAAATGACTTCTGTCTCTTTTGCTAGCAAACATCAATATATTCTGAAATAGCCTAAATCATTGCCAAATACCTTCTATAGTGATCGTTACAATGTATGACCCAGAAACTACCTGAGGTAGATATCCGTACTACAGAAGGTCATCATGCTTCTAATTTTTCACCTAAAGAAGTGAAACCATATAGTTCCCCAAGTTAATCTCAGTTTTAGAAGAAATGTTATGTCTCTTGCAACTCTGCACAATGCATCTCAAAGATTGTTGTTTCTTTTTTCTCCTGTCTGTGTTTTTAATAGGAGTGAAGCCCATTATTCATACCTCTGCTTTTAATCAAAGATAAGAATTCTGTAGAGAACCAGAAAATTGAAATCAGCTCCTGCAACCTAGAGCTGAACAATTATGACTTGATTTACAAGGAGCCACTTTGCTACATATTTAAATGCAGCTCTGCCACAAAATTTGGGGACTTCTCAGATAATCAAAATGCTACAGATTTAGCACTTTTAATTTTTGCTCCATCTCCTGCCAGCTTGAACTCTGATTGTAATTACCATTTCATCTTTCTCTGAATGACATTGTTTTATCAGAGGAAGATACTGTATCTGGAGTCTATGCACGATGATTAGTAACCATCCAGCTTTCAACAGGAAACAATAAGTGTGTCCTGAAGTGAAGCAGGATGGTGCGTAATAACGCAGAGCCAGAGATAATCTCAAGCCTCTCAAGTCTTTGAGGCATAATTCATAGCCCCAAAATGCTGCAACACATGTGAGAACAAACAAAAGTAACTATGCAGAGACCTAGAACAACTTTCCCCACCCTTCCCCCCACCCCCCCCCCTAGAAATTGACTGCAGAGGGCAGTTTTTAAGTTATGAAAAGATATCAAAGCCTAACTGCTATCAGACTTCATTGGTATTTAGCTACCTTTTGTGTCTCAAAGTCTCTCAATTGGACTAATCTAACTCAACAATCACAAAAGCACACAGGACGACTTGCTGTTATCAGTTTTTCTTAAGAATCTTCTCCCTGTGTTTTGTTAGAACAAATACATTAGAGAAAGGTACTTCAGCAGCATTAGAGAACTACCCTGGTTGAGCTGTGCTGCCGAGATGGAGCAGAAGACAGGGATGGGTGCTGCAGCTGCTCCTGGCCCTATGTTTCACTTGACAGACATAACAATCTACAGATTGTTACACTACAGACATAAGCAATCAAGCAGTGATCCCTGCATGATGAAAAATACCACGGAAGAAGTCTAAAACTCTAAAATAAAAGCAATATAGAAGCAGTAATAGTGTTCCCATATCAGCAACATCTTTACATTTCAAATTGCAGAGGCGTAGAGCTGTGGAAAGTGTGCTAAGTGTGAATAAACTCAACTGGTACAAAACCACAAAGCCCAGTATAATAGTAACAGAAGTTTCTTCTGCTTCCAAAATCATCTTCTTATTATTAGAACATCTTTTCAAGTAAAGAAGAAAAATCACTGGTAAAATATCAGAAAGAGTAATAAATTGACAAAGAACAACCAAAGATCTTTCAAATCACTTGCAGTTAACTCCAATAGGAACAGGAATATGAAGATGAAAGACGCCCCAGTGCTCGTACCTGACACTACACACCATTCCTGTGGCATAAAATGTAACCTATAATTCATGCTTCACCTTAAAATTTGTGTTGGTAATGCTGCTCCCTCTGGTTTTTATGCTTTTTTTTGTTTGTTTGGTTGGTTGGTTTTGGTTTGTTTTTTTTTTTTTTTTGAAAGCCCTGTTGCCCATATACAGTCACCCTACATTTTGCACACTGTAAATGGTCTAAATCCGCTTAAGGAAAGAGCACATAGTGCACTTTTGATCCTAATGGCTAGGTTTCCAAGATAAGTAATAAGACACTACCTCAAAAGAGTATCATGCCAAACACACCAGGCCTCCATTTACAGCTGTTACATTTCTAAGTTTATATTTTACATGAAGGCCTTCCCTATATAGGAATACTTCACGTAGAAGAGATCATTTCAGGGTTCTGAAAAATCTCTTAGCCGAAGAGAACTTCTCATTTTTTTCAAAATCATACAATATAATTCTTTAGGGAAAAAAAAAAAGCACAGAATTGGAAAAGTGAATGGAAAACTGAATATATTTCACACAATAGAAGATAAAGTCATGTAATAGGAATCACTTTAGGAAAGACCTAGTGAAAGGGAAGGGAAATCTCACCCACAGCCATATAATGAGAAGCACATGAATAGAGAGTGATTACTCACAGTTCTGCATACAAAACAACCATAAGGTGGCCTGTGAACTTCTCAGGCTAGAACTTACAAAAAACACCAAAGAAGCCACCAAAAACAAAGGTTTTTTGTTTGTTTGTTTGTTTTTAAAGAAAACAGAAGTTGAATGTTGGAACTCCAAATTGCAGGATACTGTGAATTAAAAGTTATTCACTTTCCACTACTCAGTCAAACCTGTGGTGATTGTGCCCACTGAGGACCATAAGACACAAAAGCTGAATGCAATCTGTGTCTCAGGAAGCAAATGAAACAATTGGTGAGAAAACAGGCAAGAGTAACAACAGAGCCGTAATTCACTGACACTCCATTACGTCCTATGCAACCACTACTGGATTTACAGCAGGAATATGGTAGACTACATAAATCAAGTCTGCATAAAGCTCTTGTTTTCTCATGCTAGCTCTTCATCACTTCATCTCCCCACATATCCATCGTAAATGAAAAGCAATACGCACTTGCTCTCAAACACACGTGGAGACCTGTGAATTAGCAGCTCTGCCTAAAAGCAGCCAAAAAGAGGCAGCTAATTGGACACCCCTGTTGAGATGCCTTCGCTTAGAAGAAAAGATGAGCGGTACTCTAAAAAACTAGATGTTATTTATTATCAAATAATGCAAATCCACACATCAGCTTCAGGTATGTTTATCCCTATAATGTAAAGGAAAGCACAGCAGTGACAGCAGAGAAGCAAACTCCTAGGCCACAACAAGTGTGATTTGCTCAAACACAACAGCCAGAGGCACAGAAATAAAGGAAAGAAGCTGCTTACCTTCAGAAGTCCTCAGGTACACAGGGATCTCCAGCAAAACACCTCACCTCCACAGCCAACCTTTAAATGAGGTCTGGGAAGGGGTGGGGCCAGAATCCACTCCTTCCAGTCACCCGGCTGCATTGCATGCACTGAGTTTCCCTGGGTCTGTCCTGCCTTCCCACCAGGTGCTCAATCACTGCTTCAGGACATGACTGGACATGTCTGCTACACTCCCCTTGCCTACCTTTGTTGCAGAAAAAAAGTATCAAAGATGCCCAGAAAAAGAGTAAATCCTCAAAACAGAGGATGATGGTTTGTCTCTGCTGTAATCCAGTAAGGTTAGTTTTGCCTGAAATGCTAGAAAAAAATTGTTCTGATATGCTTACTGGCAAAATGGGCACTGGAATGAACTTTATATGTGTTTTGTGTAGGATTGGTGAAAGGTGAAGACCTTTATGAAAATAATTTAGAAAATAATGAGCACTAGTAATGTTGCTCTTAATAGTATTTGCAGTGTCAAAGAGTGCATTGTACTCATCATTCCACATTGCTTAAAACTAGGAGACAAATTGTAACTTAAGTCTTGAGAAGAACACTGCCTATATTCTTGCTAGAAGTGTAACCTAAGAGTGTTCTCAGGGCTTCTCTGTTTTCTACCAAAGCCTCCATTTTTGAATAATGCATAACTGTGTTGCCTCACTAAAAAGGAGGAAAATGCCTTTAGGTTTTACATGGAAAGGGGTCTGAGAGAGAGAGATTTTCTTTTTACAGCAGTGGTTCAGCAGCTACAAATACCTCTCAACCTCTTGTACTTTCCCTATTCCCCCCCAAAATGTGCATTTGTTATTTTGTCTGTTAAAGCATAAGTCTGTCTGCAGACTTCCAGAAAGAAGACTTGCTCCCATGAACTGCAGTTTAATTTTTTCACAGTGCATTTTGCAGCAGGCCTTTCAAAACGGGGCCTTCCCTAAAGCTGAGTTTCACCCATGGTGAAAAATATCAGCAGTTCAGTGAGTATGGTTGCTAGGCTAGCATGCAGCAAGGGAATAAATTAGCTACAAAATAGTCAGAGTTTCAAGCTTTTGTGCACCTCTAAAATATCAATAAGTAGTGTTCTGGAGTTCTTGAAAAATTATATGCTTGAAACAAAGCCCTCAGGAGGTCACTGCCCCATACATTATGTAAGTCATATTGAGCTCTCTTTGGCTAACCTCAGCTATGGGCTTAAAGGGCATTTCAGAATAATGTTGTCTTCCTGAAAGATAAAAATAATAATAAGGAAGAGAAAGACAAAGAAAAAAAAATGAGACTTTTTTTTTTTTAATTATTATTTTTCAAGGAAATGTCATAATTCAGCAGTAAAACTTAAGGACTTAATATAAATCTGACAAGCTAGCCAGGGATGCAGCTTAGTAGACCCACCTCGAGAGACTCCCCACAGTGTTTAAAACAAGAACATATACAAATAAAACTTTCAACCCAGATAAAAAAATCTGCACAGTTATTCTGCATGAATATTTCCTTTCAGTAGCATTAAGATTGCATTGATAGTATTTAAGATACATTAAAAGCTTGATGATCAATACTATCTGAACTACGAATGATGAATGAATGAATTCAATCATTAGTTACATTTCCACAGATACTTTATTTCAAGACTCCAGTTCAATCACAATGTTGATTTTAATGAGAAAGATAGCAATATACAATCTGGAAACATTGCTGTTTAAAGTTTGATGAGAAGGGCCCTAGGTTTTTTCAAAGCGTTGCTTCATTTTTATCTGAAAAATAATTCATGAATTCCTTAATTCTGCAAACATATCCTCCTTTATGTGAATAGTGATACTGAAATCACTGAAACTTTTACATATAGAACATGAAAGAGTCATTGAGTTCATGGACAACTCAGCTGACATGCAATCCTGAGCATTTGCAATATTAGAGTTGAGGTTACTTCTACCTCTATAGATTATATTTCACAGCTATCATCTGAATTTAGAGCAGAAAGCAATGAGAAAGCAATTTCTCCTGCTTCAAAATGTGAAAACTAAATCGCTTTCCAAAAACCAGTTCACTGCAAACATTTTGCTGGATGCAGTTCCCTCGCTAGTCTACAACTTTTTTACTGAGAAGGAAGAAACTTGAAATAGTTTTCCTGGCCCTAGAAACTAAGCTAACCATACTTGAAATAAATGCCTTGCACTTTTCCTGACCTTTTGCCTTATCAAGGATCTTCACTAAAGGATACCTTTTTTGGATATTGTTTTTGTTTTTGTAGCATTTTAGTTCTGAACACAGAGACAAGTCCTCCAGACATTAAATGCTATGGTAGTTTCAAAAAAGAAATGAGACCATTATTTTCTTTTTGTTGTTATTGAAATTATTAATATTAATATAATAATAATAATAATAATAATAATAATAATAATAATAATAATAATAATAAATATTAATAAGTATTCCTCATATTCCAGATGCGCACATACATAAAGCCATAGTTTTATCTTACCAGAATGCACATTATTCTTGGTACAGTTTTTTTAAAATGCTTTTTCTATGTGGATGAATTTGGAAGCAGCTTTCTGTAGGAGAGAGAATTTGGCTGCACAGCCATTTAGGAAGTAAGTAAGAGTTTCTTCGTGTGTTTGTAAAGGATTGTCCACCGCTCACTACTATCCAGCTTATTCAGCTATCAGTTAATTGTATTAATCCTGATTTTAACACTGCATCTATGCCTCCAAATCTGCAAAGTTCTTTTTCATCTTTTTTGTTCTATTTTTTTTTGTTTGCTTTTTTCAATGAAGAAAAATTCATTGTTAGTCTTTAAAGTCAGAAACAAGAAACTCATCTTGCCTGATCTCCCATTAAAACGAGTCATGTTATTACATAAAGTAACTCATACTCCAGTTCCACATCTTTTCAAAAGCATTTTACAGTAACAACTTCAACTAATAAACTTCATTATGTTAAGAGAAAAAAAAAATAAAAATCAATGCTTAATTCACTTTTAGAGTTTTTAAGTCTATTTTTCTGCTGTGGTCTTTTGTATTTTGGATCATTTTACACTATTGAGTGCAACGTTAAGGAGTTTGCTACAGTCAGAAATCTCCTTCCCAGGAATAAATGCATTGAGCAAGCAGTACTTAGCCTTTCTTTCTGTTAAATTTTTCTTTGATGAATCAAGACTTCAGATTATAAATGTCAGGGGCTTTTCCATATTTCTTCAGAAAATAGCACATTTAAGCTCATGCCTGCCTTTCATAAATTCTTATTAAATTTTAGCATATATATATGACAGGAAGCCAAATGGCAGAAAGCATTCTGCATTGCTTTTTTTTTTTGTTTTATTTAGAAATATTTATGGGACAACATAACATGAAATCTTGTTCTCCATCATGCATCTTGGGCCTAAAAAACTCTTAAAAGAGCAAATATCAAATTATTTAGAGCCCTGTGGCATTATAAAAATGCAAAAAAAAACATGACTGCAAACACCACATATTTAGAATGTATGTGGACATTTAGCAACAATGTCACATAAATCTGTTCTTGCAGAAATGTAGCTCTTGCTATCACATCGCTCCTTTGTAAAGAAAGAAAAAATGGACACATAGCTTTTGTTCAAGTGATTCGATTTACAAAAAATGTGTCACATCAAAGAAAATGTCTGCTAATGACCGATGTTATTTCAGGTACTGCTGTAACCTTAATTTCTCTGCTTACTTTAGTCAAAATCTCCAGACCACCAAAATCAGGGCAGCAGCTGAAATACAGTTTAGGACTTTGGGACGAGTCATCTTGAAAAGCTTCATCATTTTTCAAGTGAATTTGTATTAATACTTTCCTAGCATCAACAGTTAAACAGGGTTTTACACAGCCTAATCATCCTACCTAGTGCAGAAAATACATTTTAGAGTCTCCTATTGATGAAATGATACAAATAATAAAAATGCCTGATTAGATGCAGCCAGTTTAGGAGAATAAGTGATTCTGTTGATTAAACCTGTGTAACATCCCTTATATAACATTACTTTGAGATCCTTTTATATGATTTTGGCTGAAGAGGTCGTCACTCTTGATGCTCATTAGCATCCAATGATATTGCTATGATACTGCCATGTGCTGAGCATTTTGAGTCAGCTCCTCACAGATTATGCTCCCTGCAACCCTTCTGACTCTGGATTTACTTGTGCTGGAATTCACACAGGGTCAGAAGTTTTCAGGTGTGTTCAGCTTCACTTACTGAACTTGCACGCATATGTTCATATACGTATATATTCATGGCAGTTTACTTGTGTTGAAATACACTCTGTTTATACACATAGCCATGTTTTACAGGAAACAAAATGGGAGTCATTTAGAATGGTGGCTATTGCTTTAAGACTTTTTTCCTGAGGTACAACAGATGGATAGCTATAATGCCATCACTTGATACCATGCCGAATTGTGACTGTGTCATTTTGTTAGAGCCTGCTGATTTTGTATAGAAATTTGCTGTTGGATTAGGGTTTTTGCCAATCCTGGCAGAAGAAAAAGGCTATTTAATGTGTCTTGAACTGCCATATGGTGCGGATAAAAGAGGTAGTTCCATGGCTGCCATTGAAATCTAATACATATGAGCAAGTCCATGTGGCTTTGGCATATTCCCTGTCACATAATGCACCTGCTGCAATCAGGTATTTCACATGAAAAACATGACTGTCACAGCTCTTTATCCTGGTTATACCTCAGTGTCAAAAAGCAGCACCTCACTCTGATTTTCAATCCACATGGAAAAGCCAAAAGCATGAACTGGAATGTGAAGTGAGGAAACACCCTGCGTATCGCACAGCTGATTCAAATTATACTGCAGCATAATACTCACCTCGCAATTCGCACTTTATGCATAACATTCATCAAAATTTTATATTTTAATCTCATAATTCTCTTTCAGAATAGAAAAACAGAGCATACTAGAGAAAGAAGTGACAATAGAATTTACTGCAAACTAAAGGGAAAATGGTTAGTCAGCCTTAATCTTCTGGTGTTTGGGTGTGATAAACTTCACATT